ATTGTACCTCAGGTTGTAAATAGTGACGAATAAACTAAACTAAACTAAACTAAACTAAGTATTTTCTAAGATATAGAATTCAGATCTAGGTGTTTTTGCTTGTTCATATTTTGTTAAATGAATCCCAGTTAGTCTGTCCTTAAATGAAATTAATTTCTAAATTGGTATGATAAATATATAAATATGGAAATATAGAAATATAGAAATAAATCGCCCTTTCCTTTTGAAATTTCTTTTTAAAATATACGTTGTACTCGCTAGGTTGCCTCTGATTGGCTGAGATCAATAAGCCAATCCCCAATAGCGTGTGAACTTGATATAATAAATGTATTATCTGCAGATTGTTATCAATCTGAATTAATAATAATGTTTAACTTATTTTATTCATTTTTGATGATTATTGTTCATCGTTATTTCTCAGAAAAATTTTAAAGATCAACTTGGCAGTGCCAATAGTTACACATGGACAACTCCTGACTACCCCACTTTATGTGAGAAGTATACCTATGCCTCAAGCTTCCAAAGTCCTTTTGTTTTCCTGGTTATGTGGTTACAGACTTAGATTATCAGTATCCCCTAATGGAGATAGAAAAACAAGACATTCATTCCTCTCTTTATACCTAAGATTATATGAAGACCATTTGCTGACATCTAGTGATGTTCATGTGGTGCCCAGCAGTGAAGCCACTATAAGTTTCAGGTAGTGCCACACACCCACCAGTGTCCAAACCTGCATGGGTTTTGTTTTTGATAAATATCAAAAGCTAAAAAATAAACACGAGCTTCTCAGCAGACAATGTCTGTCCAACATTGGCCAAATGCCCCTTTTAGACTGGACACACCAATTATGCATGGCCTAGTCAAAGGTCGAACCCTGAAACAACCTCTGGGCAAATCTAAGCCAGGGCACAGCCAACTCAAAGATTCAACCATAAAACAACCTCTGGGCTGATCAAAGTCAGGGCATGGCTAACTCACAAATTGAACCCTGAAACAATCTCTGTGCTGATCTAAGTCATGGCACAGTCAACTCATTGAATTTGAATTTTCATGTCTAGGTTTATAAAGAGGGAGTAAAAAACTGAGAATCCAGAGAAACCCAACAAACTAAAACCCAATCAACCTATAACAAACCTTTTGAACTAAATGGTTATTTTCATACCAGCTTTCATAAAACTTTTTACCAGGTTAACTGTGATCAGCCAAGTGCATGGTGTCAATGACGTCAGTCAAAAAAGACTGAAGAGTGCTACTATGGTCAAATTTTATTCTTCAAATTTTACTATTAAAGATCTTGTTAATTAAGGTACAGGAAACTATCATAATTCATATGTCATACTTTCACATCCCCACAATACTTTGCGTCTTTGGGGGGTAACCAGAGGGTAAAAACCCACTTATTTTGCTGAAGGCTGATCAGACAATGTTGACAA